TACCTAGTACTCGTTTCCTAACAACTGCATTACTTACCCGGTGGTCCCAGGATATACGAGCAATGCTTCGAAGACACCTATGATCGAACACTAGTAGCCTACGAATATCCTCTACTCTTACCGGCCATGTTTCACTTCCATAAAGTAGGACGGAACGAACTGCTGCACAGTAAACCCGTCCTTTGGTTGCTAGACGGATATCTCGCCTACGCCACAAATGACGCAAGTTGGCAAAAGCTAGACGAGCCTTCTGTATCCGTGCTGAGATTTCGTCAAACACCAGACCACAAGGGCTGATGAGACTCCCAAGATAAGTGAAGCGGTCAACACGCTCAACTACTTCACTCCCTATCATTAGTTCAGGTGTCGCTGCAACCCAATCCTGAAGTAACATTTTGCACTTCGAGGGAGAGAATCGCATCCCGAACATGCCTGCATTGTTGCTTATGGTGGTCAGAAGACTCTGCATTTTGTCAGCGTCTTCACCGAGTAAAACTATGTCGTCGGCGTATTCTAAGTCAACAAGTGAGCCTCCCGGTAAGAGTTCAACTCCTGGAGGCTTAGCTGATGAAAGTGCTGTCTCTAAAAGTATGTCAATGACAAAGTTAAACAAGAATGGGGAGAGTGGACAGCCCTGACGAACTCCACTTGTGGTAATCAGTTCTGATGACAGTTCGCCATAGGCTCTAACTCGACCAGTTGTGTTCGAGTAGAGAGCCTTTATGAGGTTAATGTACTTCTTTGGTACTCCTTTCAGTGACAAACATTGCCATAGAACCTCACGATCAACAGAGTCAAATGCCGCCTTAAGGTCAAGAAATACTACTATTGTGGGACGTCTGAATTTGTGTCTATGTTCTAGAACCTGACGTAGGGTGAATATCTGGTCTATGCAACCACGTCCAGGTCGAAAACCAGCCTGGTTTTCTCTAGTCTGCTCTTCACGAGCTTTGGTTAGGCGACCTAGTATTATTGAAGCTAATATTTTAGACACTATATTAGTCAAACTGATCCCTCTGTGATTGTCACAGGAGGACTTTTGTCCTTTCTTATAGACTGGCACAATCAGTGATTGGGACCAGTCAGATGGAATTACGTCCAGTTCCCAGATTCTACCTAAGACCTCAGTCAATCTCACTGCTAGTACTGGACCACCATCCTTAAAAATCTCAGGGGTCAACCTGTCAGGGCCTGCTGCTCTCCCTCGCTTCAGATTTCCTATAGCTTTTTCAACCTCACAGAGGGTTGGAGGACTTACGTCAATTTGCCATTCAGGACGACTGGGGATCGTGGGTAATTGAAGCGTGGCTGAAGGCCAGTTGAACTGATCCCTAAAGTGTTCTGCCCATCGATCCAATCTCCTGGATTGAGAATGAATAATATGCCCATCTCTATCTGAGATGGTTTCACTGATATTCGGGTTCCTAATGCCGGTTTCTTTAACGAGTCTGAATAGCTGCCTACTGTTACCTATTGCCGCTGCCTTTTCCATCTCTCTTGCTTTCCCTACCCACCACTGTTCACGATCATTACGTAGGCTTCTTATAAGCCTGCGCTTAAGTTGACTCCGCTCTTCGTTATGCTCAGAGCCAGGTGGGATGAGTTTACGAGCATCTATCAGTGCGGAAGATGCTGCCGAGATCCATTGTTTCTCCCTAACGTTATGGTTTACCTTACTAGCGGACATCACTGCTGTTTCCACAGCTTTTCGGATGTCATTCCACGCTGCCTCGGGGTGGACACAACTTACATGGCTGCCTAACTGTTTTTCTAGTTGTTCCTGATATATATTCTTAGCTTGCCTATCATTAAGTAGAACCCTTAGAGGCTTCCCTGCAGTGTCTTTCCTACGACCAGTTAGACGCAGACAGATACGTGCTCGCACTAGAGCATGATCTGAATCTAGACATGTGCCCCATAATGAGCGACAGTCTTCAATCGAGCCCCTCCATCGGTGGCTGATAGCGATGTGATCTAATTGGGTCCAACGTTGGGACGAATTCGGGGGTCGCCATGTCAAAAGATGTTTTTCCTTATGCTTAAAGTTAGTATTTGCAAGAAATACGCGGTTATCTGAGCACAGCTGCAACAGACGGTCGCCATTATCTGTTCTTTTCGCCATGACACCATAAGATCCACCCAGGTGTCTTTCCCTTTCACTTAGTTTACCTACTTGAGCATTAAAGTCACCTGCTACTATTACAACATCAGAACGCCTAGCTTCTCGGAGAAGGTCAGAAAGTTTCCTGTAGAACTCATCTTTTATATCGTCTGAGCTGCAGTCAGTGGGAGAGTAGGCAGAGACGACGAAGAGGCAACGACGAGTTTCCCTATCTTTCCGGGTCCTTACTGATCCGTTTAGTCGGACAGCGCATAGACGACTGTCTACTGGGATCCAGTCTAAAAGAGCTAGTTCTGCCCTAGGACTTAATGCTATACCTACTCCAGCGAGGCCACGGGAAGCAGCGTCAGGGCTTCCAGATACACGAAGCGTGTATCGAGATGAAACTTTATTTTGATTAGGTGAGGTCAAATGAATGACACTACTCGGATCTTGTATGCGCGTTTCGGAGACGCAGCACACATCGATGGTGTAAGATTCTAGAGTCCTAGCTAAGGAAGCCTGTTGTCCTATTTGGCACAATGTTCGGACATTAAAAGTTCCTATATGTAGTTTAGAGCGTGGTTTCAGGAGACCAGAAATAACGTTCTGTGTACTCGAATCGTTTGCCCTAGCGGTGCGAGGTGATAAAAGGACGTGGGAAGGGTTAGTCGTGGAGATAACAGAGTTATTAGGAGGTGTAGGAAGGATTTGAAAGCGACCAACTTGGTCTTGTGTGCAGCTAAGGGTATGAGGGCTAGTATCACTTCCCGGCTGCCCACACCGTGGAAGGGTATTTCTTGAGGGACCTGAAAAAGAAGTTGGATTAGTGTTGGTCTTAACGACCTGGGTGCGTGACCGCAGTGCCCAAGGGACATCTGCTTGAGGTCGGTCACGCACGGCCTTTTTGTGGGGGATTTTTGACGTGTTAGCTCCGTTCTTCAAAAGTCCTTACCGCCGGAGACGGAAATCCGTGGGATAAGGCGAGGTGTGCATTTTTAGGGTCGACCTTTTCTAACCCCACCCCTCCTTGTGGGAAGGCAGCATCGCTGTCATGCTGGTTGTCTGAAGGAAACACCTTACTGCTTTCACACCTCTGTACAGTCAGCAGTACGACTTCGCCTTCGGACCTTGGGATTGCTGCTTTTAGTCTCACCGCTCTTCAATCGACCTGTCTGGCATGGTAGGACCTTGAGGAACGATTGTTCCAGAAAGCATAGCTCGATTGGATCATCACGATAGGCAAGCCCGACCACCACGTCAAGGTAGCAGCAACGGTCGGAATAATACTAAGTGATGTGAATTTGCATCTCTAACGAAGTATAAGTTCTCCTAAAGTTGTAAACACATCTTAGTGAGGAGTGTCGATGGTAGCAACTCCTACATTAAGACTTTAATTCAACTTAATAATTAGTAATACTTTCAAATATTATGCTTTAAGATGATCTGATAGGAATGTATTCAGTAGCTCTGCGGATTCATGTACCCTTAGTTTTACTATATCAAGTATGAAGGCGACTTGTAAGTCACAACATGAAAACACATATTTTAACACTACCCTTGAAATGGTTAACTTTAGCATGGAAGAAATTCTCTATATTACAAAGAAATACGATAATGAGAATGTGATCTATTAACTGATGACTAAATGTTAAATTCTAAAAATCTTTTATGCAAATATACGTGCTTTTTCTAACAAGTTTAACTTTATAAATGTATTACCGATCAATAATTATGCACCATGTGAATAACATTATTTTCAAATTATGGAGAGTACAAATTCTTATAATTGTCATGAACGCATTTACTAAACTAAATGCCTAGTATAAATTACAATGAGATCAGCTTTTAAGGTCAGTAAATTTAATAATGTAATCTATACATCAAGTATATTTATATAGTCGGCTTTGAAGTTTATTTATTTATTTATTTGAACACATAAATATTGGTACAAAAGGGCACCAGTTACATATGCACCACACAAATCTTATTTGATTTGTGTGAGGGATGTGATACTTTCAAGGTGCCCAAACTGAAGCAGGTGGTTTCCTTAGGGGCCCACACCCAGAGCCTTCGACCTAAAGGTCTAACCCACAAGGCAGTGGAGCATCGTGAGGAGATGCAGTCCCATGGTAGCCGGTGATCAACAATTGGTTTATACGCCATTTGTTCCCCCAAGATACTGGAGTCTATATGAACCATTGGTTAGGAATCAGGGTTTTCCGGTTCCGCTAAGTGGGTCCTCCGTACCTACCCATTCGGTCTAAGGATCGGACATTCGCTTTTCGTCGTCCCAATTTCGTAAACATCAGTAATGCCGAGAGAGGGCAGTGAGTAAGACTTCTCTGTCAGTGACTTTATACGCGTGGCCATGTGAGGGCATTTCGTGGAGAGCGGACTCTCCCGACCCTCAGCCACACCAGGGCATTAGGAAGCATGTCAAATAAAAATAAGAAAAGATGAAATAAAAAACCCTTCCCTTAATTCAAAACAAAATTTTCAGATATTAGGTATGAAGTTAGTATGAATTTTAAAACTATCGAAATAAAACATCATTAACAACAACATATTCACAGATTTGCTTCGTTAAAAAGAGTAGAAAAGTAAGGTGATTTCAGAATGCAGAAAAAAACAATGAGTTTCATAACCGCAAAAAAATCTATGAATTGCTATTTTCTTGCAAAGATATAGTTTACAGCATATCTAAGAGATGAATACCAAACACAAGTGAGTGTATTGAACGGTGTATTTAAATTATAAAGCATAGTATGGCACATGTAATCATATTATTCAGTAAATTCACGCAAAAGAAAACTAATGGATAAGGAATTGCAGTTGATGATGTAAAAAAAACAGGATCAGAGAGAGAAATCTTTCACATCAAGTAAACAATAAACCATTAGAAAGCATGCATACTATCTTTGATATTTTGTTCTCGGTATGTTTTTATCATTGAATAAATGAATAAAATCAAGAGAATACAATTAATAGCAAGAACAATGGATCCCTCCAACAAATAAGATGGCATAATATACACTTTAAGATGAGCAGTAACAGTGGTATTGATTTCAAGATTTTTACAGTTATATTCACCAGAATCAGGTATAGTAAGATTAGTCATTTTTAGGATACCATCTTCATTAATAAATCGACCATCTTCTGATGTGTTACCATTTAATAGAACTGTCCCATCAAACAATATCCATCTTAAATCTGAATTATAGGACGAGTTTTCGAAAGAACATTCAAAAATTCCAGATTCGTGAACACGTAGTGCTTGAGCGATAGGACTAACAGATAACTCTTCACAAACTCCATAGATGACAAATTGAATAACAGTTAAATATAGTATATAAAACCAATTTGGACGATTCATTTGAAAAATGGGAAGTTTGTGAAGAGAACTGAATGAATTATGATAAGAATTTAAACTGATGATATTCAAAAAGTTGAAAACAGTTCTGAAAAAATACAAAAAATTATAAATTCAAAATCGATTTGAATTTGTTGGAACAGTACTGGTGCTAAAATACAGGTAAGTGTTCGAAAGATCTGTAATTCCCACTCACTGATTAATACTAAGATTGATGATATCATGGTATCTGAATATTTTAGCCTCTATGTCAGAAGTGTCATATCATTAGTCAGTATTACAACTAGACTGTTCGAAATATGAAATCTCTAAATATAAAATATGTAAAAGAAATTGATCCTATTACTGATTTAACGTGATTCTCATTCATTGTAGTAATTCATTTAGTGTGTAGTTAGTTTATTTGACTTTCAATGCATTTTCATTGTATGGATTAATTCACTGTGATTTTACGTTCAAATGACAAGTCTTCTTCGGTTTGATAAGATTATGCAATTAAATAATCAGTGAATTTAATTGGAATTCAAATTACTTGAACGTCAATTAACCCTCCTGTGGTTTTTACCTCAAAAGCCTTTTACGAGTGTGGAGTAATAACATCGAAGTGCTGTAGTCTGTGAGCGATACAATCCATCAAATAAATGTAAATTCCAACTAGGGAAAAATCACCATATCATTCGTACTTCGATAGTACTATAAGATGACCGAAACGTGGCACAAATCAATGAAGTCACTGACAAATGGACTGGGCCATGTTGGTAGGTGTAGACTACCTGGTTGGGATTCGCGAGATGACAGCAACCGATGGTTAGAGACCTTGAATGACATGGCTCAAAATCGTTTGCAATGGCGAAGTTGCATCCACTCTTTGTGTTCTACCAAATTCTAATCTTCTGAATTCCTCATGTCTTTATCTTTTTCTCTTTCCAAATTTATTTCACTGTACTATATTCCTTCAATAATTTCTTCAAACCCTAATCTTTTGGATTTCTGATTATACTCCTACTACTTCTACCACTATGGGATTTGAATCGACAACTGCATCTCTGTGCTAATGTGGTATGGCAACTCGAACTGATGTACGTACGTACGAAGTACTACTTTGTGACTGACTGACTGAGTACTATAAGATATCTTAAACAATAATAGAGAAAGTTCATACACAATACTTCCATGGATTAACAACAAGCTGACAATGTAAAACTTTCTAACTATTGTTGGATGAAACTGATATAGAGGGAAATACTTTAACCATTAGACGAGACTTGAAAAACCAAGTTCAGTGAGTGGCCATCGTTATGAACTTGATAATAAGTATAGCTTACGTTCACCGTTAAAATATTCTCCATGTGAAATTTAAAAAAGTCATTTGACCATCACTGACAAATTTCTGTTACACTTAAATGCATTATAGGGAATTCCACGGTAATTTATCCGAATAAACATAGAATACCCGCTGATACATAAAACTAACGATTGGTTCAATGAAGAGTTTTTAGTGGGGGCTAGGTCTGACTTCATTTAGGTCGTACAAATGATTGTTATCAAAATATACATCCTGTCCATCCTCGTATGTATTACATGACTTAATCCGCGTTGGTGAATAACGGAATTAAATAAGTCAAATGCGAGAATGGATTTCGAATACATATAATTTGTACACTCATTGATCTAGACAGGAAATCAGAGGGATGAAGCGAATAGAAGAGAGCGAAGCAAAAACAACACGCTTTGGAGATGGCAAGTAAGCCAACTCGCTTTAATCAATATTTATAGTCAGATAAAAATAAATTACCGACATGTGATGAATAAGATAAAAAGTGTACACACATATACGCTCATAGAAAAACAGTCAGGGTTGATAAGTGAACAATTAACAAGGTTAAAATGTGACTCATGATGGGTAGGTAAATTGGCTTGTCCTGAAGCTATAATAAGGTATATAGGCTTAACATACCAACCGACACTACAAGTTCATACTTTATGAATGAATTAACTGAACACAAAACTCTTCATTGAACCAATGATTCTTATTCTATATAACTGAAAACTACCTATGATACTAATTTCGATAAAATCAGTTGAAATTGACAGAGAAATTATGAGTATATAAACATCCTTCCTCCCCTAGTCGTTAACAATTAGTCCTTTTGGTTGACTTTACAATATGTCAGTGAGATAAAGAGCTGTCAAACGCTGACACTATCGATGGTATAAAGAGTTCACTCACACCTAGAATGCTGTCATACACCCACGTTTTATAGCCACTGCCAGGAAAATTTTACTCACTGCATTCACACGAATTGACATAATGGAGCTTAAACTGGGCTATTGGATAAGGAAGACTCACCTAGGAAAGTTGAAAAAACCCTGATTCCAAACCAGTGGCGCACCAAGCTCCAGGATGCTAAAGGGAAGAGTAGTTTATGAACCTGGTTCAGTAATTTGGCAACATGGGGATTTAATTTATTTGTGCCCCCATCTGCTCTGGATCTTTGAGCAACCCATCATAGATAAAATGAGATATTGGTCTAATGAATATTTTCGTTTTCAGTCAATCCATTCTTGAAACGTGAACTCTTCATCGAACTAATCAATGGGTATTCCGTTTATTCAGTTAAATGAACATGAAATTCCTTCAAGCACTCAAGATCCGGTTAAATCTGTTGTCATTCGGGTGTGAAAATTGTGATAATACAATGCATTTCTTAATTTTTTTTGCGATGCAAGGGGTTGGGAACTGTTGATTAACATTTACACACATCAGATTGAAACATAGTTTACTAAGTATACAGAACGTGCTCACCTTAGAAACTAGTAGGCACAAAGTAACTAGTTATTTTTCTAAAGAAAAGTGCAAGAACCTAAGTCAACATAAACGCTTTATCTAAATAGCGAGCAATGGGCACAGTAAAAAAGTCAGGTCCCTTCAAAGCCGCCCGCCGTTTTCTTTAGACGACCTTGAACGACCTAACAAAATGTGGTCAGTCAGTATTTCAATAGCTGAGGGTTTGTTGAGTGTCCGTTTGGTTGCACGAATATTAAATTTTCTCATGCTAAAGTCGTGTTTTGCTGCATCAACTTCACGACATCAGTGAGAAAACATTAATTTAGCCTTCTCTGTCCTATAGTGTTCACGTTGGCTCTATTATTACTTCGTAAGTTGACCTGGGATACTCCACTAAACCTCACTGTCCTTATTAAACATTTAATGGGATCCACAAAACAGCGTATTGAGAATAACGTAACAGTGAAACATACTCGAAGTTTGTGTGAATCGCTGTTTCACGCAAGGATTAAGACGATATATCAAGTAACCAAACATTTTATACTTGCCGGTCTGACCAAACGTCCTAGTGGTTTGGGACGAAATAGAAGCTTCCGTTTGACAGGATTCCGTATCTAGTAACAGTAGTTCATCGAGGCCTCTAGGTGGGAATCCTAGGTATATTAAACAGACAAATGAAGAATATTTATGAATTGTAGTGAAATTCTGTCCTGAGCCCTTATGAATATGTCATGCCTCCTTTTGAAGGGCTCATCATGAATCTACTAAAGTTTCTTCAGAATGATGCTGTTCTTCGAACTTATTCCCCTAGTGAACATTCTTTACTTATTACTGATGTGTCATCTGTGGGTATTGGTGCAGTTTTAGAGCAGGAAGGTAGACCAGTTATCTGTGTTTTACTCAAGCTTACTGATATTGAACAAGGTTACTCGCGAACTCAGCGAGAAGCACTAGCTGTGTTTTGGGCTGTTGAAATACTTTATTTGGAAGGAAGTTCAACATTTTTACCGATCGTGAAGCTTTAAAGTTCATATATCATCCTGAAAAATATTTAGCACGTTCCTTAGCTGCTATGGTTTAGAAATGAAGTATTACTTTGGGTGTTCATGATTACACAGTTCAGCACAAAAGTGTGTAGAGAGAGAGAACGATTGGCATAACGGAAGTAATTATTAATACAACAAATTGTACCAGTAGCTCCTCCTGTAGCGCTTCTATCGGTCCGAAGCCTGGGTAATCGAGGAGGGTTGAGCATAAGGTTGGTAGTCCCATTCCGTACAAAACAACCTTCCTAAAAATACGCCAACCGGAAAAATAAATCAAACCATTTAAACTCTGCCCTAGGAGTTGAAGGAAGAATTATGACGCCTCATGATGAAAGCCGAGATTCTTCGCAAGTCACGAGACCGATGACTCTTCTAACAACCAGAGCAACACTCATTATAGGTACATGGAACGTCCAGACAATGTAAAAGACAAGGAAGATCATTCTAATAGCAAAGGAAATAAGGAGATACAAATTGACAGTACTTGGAATCAGCGAAACTCATTGGATACAAGCTAAACATAAATGGCTAGATACAGGAGAGATGCTGCTGTACTTCGGTCACGAAGAGGAAAATGCTCCACACACTCAGGGAGTTGCTCTAATGCTGTCCAGAGAAGCACGAAATGCACATGTAGGATGGAAATCCTACGGATCCAGAATTATCAAAGCATCATTCAAAACAAAGAAGGAGGGGATCACAAAGAATGTTATCCAATGTTATGCACCCACCAATAATAGCAGCAACAGGAGTAATATACAAAGTCAGCGCTTGCTCGTGGGACCTATGTAGCATTGCGTATGCGTTTGTGTGCGAATATTGTGCCACCTATAACCAATTTGTTGAATGCACATAGATTTGCATATCTCTACCCATTTTCATTTCTCCTAGTCTATGTCATTCAATTATATCTTTATATCCTGTGTTGTCCACTCAGACTTTAGCATTTAGATCTCCCATTAGGATGGTGAGGTCCTTTCTTGAGCAATTACCTATGATTGGTCGCAGCCTCTCACAGAACTGATCATTAACGTCGTCGTTGCTATCATTGGTGGGTGCATAACATTGGATAACATTCTTTATTTCCGTTAGCACTAGTAATGAATGCCCATCAAGTTATTTACTTTGAGCATTATCTATTGCTACATACACTATGTTGCTTTCAGATA